AGATGACTGTAAGGGGATCTTAACCCTTGACTTGGTGTTGTCAGCACCACACTCTCCAAGTGAGCGAACCAGCCATCCCTATATAGGGATCCAAACCCATGGCCTTGGTGTTATCAGCACCACACTCTCCCAAGTGAGCCGCGGGCCAGCCCTCTCTTAGTCCCATTTGAAACCTTCAACAAGCAGTGTAGTGTACCACCAGTCTGCCTTCTTTGAAGATTCTAAGGCAAGATAAATTCTATTCTTATCTCTGCTCTTTTTGATCATCAAGAAATGCCGTGGTTTCTCTAACACTGTAATGGAGCCTGAGGGACATCTGGTGGTTCATCTACAGAATTGAATCTTTCTTTCATAGTATTATTTATCATTGCTATTAGTAGGTTAAATCTGATTGGTACATTGACTAATTGCACTTGATCAGTATTCTGAACCCTTTCAGATTCAAAGCTCTCTTCTTTGATTGATAGAAGTGCCTTTCTATCCTGAAATGAAATTCACAGAAAGTGTAATCTACACATGTAACTGCAAAATTTCAATATAATGTCCTACACATAACAGAAATAAAAGAAAATTAATTTCTAACAAAATAATACATATTTTATATGTAAGTAGTTGGGCATGACTACACTTGAAAATATGATGAAGCCACTCAGACCCCTGCAATCACTGCAAATGCGGCACTTGCAAATGCAGCCAGATACAAGCATGTGAAGTCAAGAACTACAACACTGCTGGCAGCATTGCCATCAGTGATGACATTTCCCAAAAGAGTGACCAACTTTTGGTACAGTTAAGGACAAAACAATGTGCAGTCTTTCCATCATCTTACATAGTACCTGTATTCCTAGAAAATTACCAAAAATCATTTGTTACAGATGTAAAGCAGAGTTGGAATCTAGGTTCTGATTATTACAGTCTTTTTGCTCCAAAAATGTCTGATAAGACACTTAAAAGTCATGTGTGGGACTTCCATTTCTGTGAAGATGAAGTGGATGTACTTTTCCCTGTTCCTCCTGCTAAGTACAAATAGAAAGCCTGAACCATATATATAGAACAAATGTAAGAGGACTCTGAAACATAGCGAGAAGACAGCATACCAGCTAAGACTCTTGGAACTTAAAGAATGACATGGTGGTGAGTTCTCCAGGTTTTCTTTTTGCTTTGTATATCCCAGACTGGGAGCTAGAGAAGCTGAAAACAAAAATGCCAATGGGCACAGACAATAAAGTCCCCCCAAAAGCCTGCTTTCTCTAGCCAAAGGACCAGGAAAGTGGCAGCCTTGCAAACCAGAAAACTTTTAACATTTGAGAGACAGACAGGAGAGGAAGGTCCTATGGCTAGAGAGTAGGAGGAAAACCAGGGGAGCCTGGGATATGGAAGAGAGTGTTTCAGTAGGCGAGGGGTTGGTTAACAGCATCAAATGCTGAGGATGGGCCAGACAAAATGAGGACTGAAGAGCGTCTGTTGGAGCTAGCACCAGATAGACACTGGCAACTTTGGCAAGAGGAGTTTAAATGCAGTGGTGGGCCAGAAGCCAGACTGCACTGGGGTGAGGAACGCAAAGGAGAGGAAATCACGGCAGGGAGTAGAAGCACACTCCTTCAGGAGAAGAGGGGCTGTGTTCCGAAGAGGACTCTGGCGAGAGTGTATTAGTCGGGGTTCTCCAGAGAGACAGACTCAGTAGGATATGTTATAAATATATGAGAGGGGATTTATTAGGGGAATTGGCTCACACGATTGTGAAGAAAAGTCCCACAGTAGGCCGTGTGCAAACTGGGTGCCTGTAGCATGGCTCAAGTCCAAAGGCCTCAGAGCCAGGGAATCTGACGGTGTCTTTGGTGTAAGTAAGTCCTAGAACCCAAAAGCTGAAGAGTCTTGAGCTCTGATGTCCATGCACAGGACAGAAGAGTGTTATCCCAGCTCCAGGGGATAGAGATTGATTCACCTTTTTTCTCTGTCTTTTGTTCTCTCTGGGTCCCCAGCAGATTGAATGGTTCCCACCCACCCACATGGAGGGTGGATCTTTCCCACCCAGTCTGTTCAGACTCCCATACTAATCTCTGCTGGAAACACCCTCATAGACACACCTAAAAAATAGCTTTACCAGGTTTCTTAGCATTCCTTAATCTAATCAATTTAAACCTAGAATTAACCTTCACAAGGAGCATGGCTTATTTCCTGATGGGAAAGAGCCAGTAGAGTGAGAAAGTTTGAGGATGCAAGAGACAGCATAATCAATGCAGTGAGGTGAAGGGGGTGGGATCCAAAAACTAAGGGGAGGGATTAGCCGTAAACAGGAGGAGCCTTAATTCATTAGTGCAAAGAAGGCTAAGGTGAGTAAAAGTGGGCTTCTAGCAAATGTGGAGACAGGAAGTTGAGAGTTCCCACTGATTTGAAGCAAGAGTGACAGGGGCAACCTCCTCCCTGTGGGTTAATGTTAGAGATATAACCCTCATTTCTTTTCTGCACCACATGAAGTATCTTCAGAGATGTTATCATCTGTGAGCCTTCTTTTGGTAATTATCTTTAGTTTCTATTTGTAACTGTTGCTTGCTATTCAGGCAGATTCTCCTGATTAAGAAAAGAAGAAGAGAGAACTCTGTAAGCAATAACTCCTCACCTCTAAGTGAAACAGGGCAAGAGGTCATTTCAGTTTCATTTAGTTAATGTATTTTTTGATTTCCCTTGAGACTTCTTCTTTAACCCACGGTTATTAGAAATGTGTTTTTTAGTTTCTAGATGCTTGGAAATTTTCCTGTTATCTTCCATTGATTTCTGGTTTGTTTCTACTTTGGCTGGAGAACACACTCTGTATGACTTTAATTCTTTTAAATTTGTTGAAATTTGTTCTATGACTCAGGATATGGTCATCTTGCCATATGTTCCATGGGCACTTGAAAAGAATATATATTTTGTTGTTGTTGAGTAGAGTGTTCTATAAATGATGATTAGATTCTGTTGGTTGATGGTATTGTTGATTTCTTCTACATCCTTGCTGATTTTTTGTCTAGTTGTTCTATCAGTTGTTGATAGACTACAGCTATAATTGTAGATTACTACAATGTTGAAGTCCACAGCTATAATTGTAGATTTGTCTATTTCTTCCTTTAGTTCTATCAATTTTTCCTTCACATATCTTGCAGCTCTGTTGTTTGGTACATACACATTTAAGATTGCTATGTTTTCTTGGTAGTTTAATCCTTTCATCATCGTATGATGTTCCTCTTTGTTTCTAGTAATGTTCTTTGTTCTGAAATCTACTGTATCTGGTATTAATATGGCCACTCTTGCTTTCGTTTGATTAATGTTTCATGATGTATCTTTTTTCATTCTTTTATTTTTGACTTTTTATTTTCATACTATTTACATTTAATATACTTATTGATATGTTCAGGTTTAAATGTGCCAGTATATAATTTTCTTTTTGTTTGTCCACTCTGTTTTTTATTTCTCTGTTTTCTTTTTTCTGCATCCCTGTGGGTTACTTGAACATTTTGTGTGGCAGCTTTCCTGGGACTCAGCAGTACCCCCCCTCCTTTTTTTTTTTGGTTTATGCAACCTTATGGTGACCACTGTGCACCACCATTCCTTATATCCCCAACCTCTGCACATTTTAAACAGTGCTCTTTGTTCACTGCACAACAATGTGCTCTTTGTTTATGGCAATGTTAGCTTTGAGAAAACAGTGACCATGTGGCATGACCTGCTGGACTAACTTCAGGAAGGATCTCTGAATGTCATTTCAGAAACCATGAGAAAAATCACTCCCTATTTCACTATGAAAAAGTACTTTTCCTTGAGTGATTCTTAAAATTCTTTTATGTTTCTTAATATTCTTTTAATTCTTTTATATTAAAATTATAAACCCTAAGTTCTTTAATTAACCCTTGATTAAAATAAAGTTAAAAACCAGAAGCTACAAGTTTTGTGTAAGAGTCTTGAGAGATTGAGAAACTGACTTATTGACAGAAGGCTTTAAGAATACTCTGCACTAAGCTAATAATTACACCTTGTTATACAGATAAGGGGAAAACTGGAAAACATTTACCAGTCAGTTAACTTGAAGCCCCTAAGAATACAAACATTAGATAAGTTGGAGAGGTAGAATTCTTTTTTGTCAGATTTATACTTTTTCTGTATCTTGTCATTACAAAATTCAGTAGTTTATGCACAGTGGTCTCTTGTGGGATTTTACTATAACTATAATGGTTAGTTATTACACAGCCTTTAACCTTGACACTATAGAGCTCACATACTTGTCCGTAGGAAATCGCATTTACCAATCATTGTTTATTTGCTAAAGGAAATTGCGTTGTGTAATATTTAACCCACAACGACTTCACTGAGCTTGTTGCCACTAAGTTAACCAGTATAAAAACCACTCAGATATTCTTGTAATTAATAAAAATCACCCATTTTTTTCCTGGTACCAGATTTGATACAAATAAATATAAAGATTAACTCTATTTATAAATATAAAAAGATACATTTTTAAACAATACAAAAAACTCAACTTTTTCCTATGAATCCCTGAAAGCATAAGTGATTGAAGTAGGGGCCTTTCCTGGGTTATAACTGGGGAGGAGAAAAGCTGGAGGACACTAGAGCCCAGTGACCTTGGGAGGGAGAGCAAGAGGAGAGGTGGAGGGAGATTCAGAAGGGGAAGAAGGGGGCACCAGTGTCATTCTAGAGAGGTGGTATGGGATAGTGATTCTGCATCCACCCTTTGGAGTCCCGTTTACCTGAGTTCAAATCCTGGGTCTGCCTGCCACTCATGCATTTTATCATCAAACAACTTGCTTCATCTCCCTGAGCCTCAGTTTCCTCAAGTGTAAAATAGTGGTACTAACAGTCGATTCATGGAGGTTGGAGGATTAAAAGAGATATTTGTAAAGTCTTTGGTTTAGTTCTTAGCATGTTATAATTCAGAAAAATAATCTATTTTTGTTGTCGTTTTTGTTTATGTTGTTATTTCCCATTTCACTATTTCATTTAGACCGAGTCTTCGTGACTCAGGTGGGGCGTCCTCCACTTGTCTCAGCCCTGGGCAGCCACAGGGCCTTCACTGATATGAATGTTCTGCAGTGGCTTGTCCTGGATCATCTTTCTCTCTGCAATCTAACCTCATGGCTGCTGCCTGGTGACAGCTGCGTCCTGTCTGGGCATCCTATCAGGTATGGTCAAAAAGCCATTCTAAAATTTCTTCTGCTGTTATGTTGAGATATAATGTAATGAGCATAAGTTCTGGAATCAGATGTATTTGTAGACAACTTACTTACTGTGTGATCTTGGCAGATTTACTGCTCTCTGGATTCTTTATCTTAAATTGGGTTTACTGCCACTCATCTCAGAGATTCATGGTGAATAACAAATAGGATCAACAAATAATAGCTATCACTATTACTACATTTGTGAGAGTTTCTGTTTAACCATCTTTCAGGTTCAGAGAAATATTTAAGATCAGAACTAGAATTGAGTTCAAAGATTATGCACCAACCATATCCTCTTACATGGAGGCTGAATGTTTCAATCTACCTAAATCTCAGTGGCTCTAAGGCTGTATCTTTCCATCGACAAGAAATCTTGTCCTTTATACATTACCCTTCTCCATGCTTTCTCTGTAATCCCTAGGATGCATGTGTGTATTCATGACTTAGATCTGTGATTGTGGCCAATGCATGGTCCCCATCCTATGGTGGCGCTATGGAGTTGAAAATCATCCCTGCACCATAAGACCAACCTGCTTCTTCCTGAAAGAGAGATAATGTTCCTTCTGTGTCACATCTGTCTGTGGGCAGAAAGGTTCTCAGCAAGTGTTTATTGATATTACACTTTAAATTCACTAACAAAACCCCTCTCTTAGGACAGCTGGATGTAGACAAGTTCAAGATTCTTTTGCCACATTGTATCTAGACACTTGATGTCTTAAAGTCAAGTTCTCCTTTTCCAGTTCCTTCTTCCCTTCTGTTTGGTTCTCTCTCAGTGGCCTCCATCCTCCTCCCTAGAATAGGACTTCAGCCAGACACACACACACACACACACACACACATGCACACACGCACACACACACGCACCTGTCCATCAGACATATCTATAAATGTTTGGCCCTGTGGTACAACTGTGTAAATGTTTGAACATGGGCACAAATGTGGACAGCAATGAAGTCTTTTTTCCTAGGCCCTTTGCAAAAAAATGGCTGCAAAGATAGGTACATGGGGTTAGCAATGTCTCCTAATTCTGTTCACCAAGAGTCCCAGTCAGCCCAGCCAAGATTTAGACTGTCATACAGATGAGGAACACTTAAGGGTTAGGGATTGTGCCAGCATGCATAAGCATCTGGCTGCAGAGTCCCGTCCAGGGCTCATTCTCTTGCACCACACTGCTTCCTTTCATTGCACAAGATCCCTGCTCTATGCTGATGCCTTTGATTTAGCCAGATGGTTGACACATTTTCTTGTCTTTTGCCAAAAGGACAATTTGCTTTCCAAAAATCTCAAATTAAGCAGCTCATGAATGCTTCTTAAGATAAAGAGAATTGAATTCTAACAAGGCATTGTAGAAAGCAACTTGACAGGACCATGTTGCTTCTGCTTCGTATCTCTGGATGCCAGATGCCCGCTTCCTCCTGTGCATCCACAAGAGATTTGTGATTGGGTTTAAATTCTCTAGCATTGTTTCCTAGAAAAAGCCCAAGATCCATAAATGTGTCTGCAAGGAAAGAGAAACACTTTACCAACCCAGTATTGACATGCCCTTTACTTTACTCTTTACTGCCCTTTATTCCTTTACCCTTATTCTAAAGGTACTTTAGAGTCCTGAACACAGCTTTGGGTGGTAAAATGTATTTTGGCAATTGCTGATTTTAAGAACTAAACTAAGACCTAATACTTAAGACTTTGCCTATTTAGCAAAAAAGAAAAGGAAAAGAGAAAGAAAAAAAAAATAGTCCAAGGCTCCAGACTGACTATGCTGACGACAATGCCACCTTTCAAATAAAAACTTAAAATTTAATCATCCAATTATATATTGGTACCTGGGTATTTAATATAGCTTAGGGCAAAAAGATTTTAACTAATATTTAACCAGAATTTTTATTTTCCATTGTTAAAGCAGGAATGTTCCATTTCCCCCATGTAACTTAAGAAAAATCAGTCCTAAAAACACAAATGAAAACAAGCACAAATTTATTTGACCACCTTTTAGAGAAATTAACGCAAAGCTGACAATGTATATTCACTGTTCTTAAGGTTATCTAACAGATTACACCCTTGGCTTCTCAAGGAAACAATAGCGCCCATTTACTCTAAATTGTCAAACTCATTCACAAGTCTCTGATTCTATTATAGACAAGACTCCTTGATCCCAACCCTTCTCGTAGTCCTCTTTCATACTTAAAAGCATTGATCTATATACAAAATGGGAGAACCAATGTATTAGTTTTCCAGAGCTGCCATAACAAAATATCACAGACTGGATGGCTTAAACAACAGAAATTTATTTTCTCACAATTCTGGAAGCTGGAAGTCCAAGATCAAGGTGTCGTCAGGGATGGCTTCCTCTGAAGCCTCTCTCTTTGACTTGAAGCTGGCCACCTTCTTGCTGCCTCTTCACATGGTCATTCTTCTATGCACAAGCACCAGTGGTATTCCCATATGTCCAAATTTCCTCTTCTTATAAGGATACCAGTCATATTGGATTAGGGTACCCCTATGGCCTCATTTTAACTTAATCACCCCTTTAAAGGATCTATTTCCAATTACACTCAGTTCTGAGGTCCTGAGAGTTAGGGTTTCACCATAAGAAGAGAGGGACACAATTCAGCCCACAACAGTCTGTCTTTATGGAAAGTTTCCAAATTATATAAATTGGTAAAAAACTCATTCCTAGCTAAGGAGCCCTGTGGTTGTTTTGGGATGTGTAGAAAGACACAGCCACATCCAACATGTGGTTTAATTTTATGGACTGCATGCTTCTTGTTCCCCCGAAATATTTCACATGCCTTCAAATCCTCCTATAAGAGATTCATATTTTCTTTACTTATATCAAACAGAGCCTTTCTTCTGTTAAAATGCAGACAGCCTTAGACTGAGTCTCATCTGTCATCTAGACTTCAGTACAACCATCACTTCCTTCCTGAGAGCAGTTTTCAATGAAGGGCAGATGACTAGGCACCTACAGAGCTAGGGAGGAAGTGAGGACTGGATCATGGATGGAGATGAAGGGAACAGAAACAAGAAGCTGTGGCATGAGGAGATAGAACTTACTGGCTTCACTTTTTAGCCTGAATAGTGGCAGAGACTGAATATTCATGTTCCATTCCATAGTACTAGAGTTGTTCCTAAGAGGCAGCTGCTCAGGCAGAGGCTATATTTCCTAGCTCACTCCCCCTTGCCTCTAGACCGGGCCATGTGACAGACTTCTAGACAGTGGATTGTGGAGTTCCGGCCCTGGCCTAGAAAATTCTTCTGTACCTCTTCTGCCCTCTGTTTTCCTTCTACCAGCAGAAGCAAAGGATTCTGAAGACCTAAGAAATGGCAGAACCACAAAATGAAAACAGCCTGGGTCCCTGCATCACCACATGGAAGGCTTTCCACTGAACGCTTGTACTAAACTGTTATTATGTGAGTAATAACTCCTGTTGGTTAAACTCCTGACATTTCAGGGTTTGTCCCTTTCATCCACCATCAATTCCATAATTAATAGATAAATACAGTCAATGAGTTTGGCAAGAAGTTAATGATCACTTCAGTGGTGATAATTCCACACTAGTTTATGCCTAGAGTAAATACTAATAATAAGGATATTACTTGATTTGTACTGTAAAATGACTTTTATTCAGAAATTGCTATTCAATTCAAGTTGACATGTAATAGTAGTAACAATAATCACAGACAGCTGAAGTTTACAACTATCACTGCATTTTAAAGTACCAGGCATAATGAGAAGTACACAAGGAAATAAAACATTGGTAAGGTAAAGAGAGTGTTAGACAGAAAGTCAAGTGTGCTGAACTCTAGTTCCACCAACACTAACCAGCTATGACCAGGAGCCCCCATCTCTCCAGTCATTACCGGATCTAAAAGCCAGATGGGAGGTGTGCACTTAGAGGAAACAATGCCTCCCACAAGAAAAAAGAAACCTTGGGAGGAGTGGTCACAATGCTTTGTGCATAGAAGATGTTCAATAAATGTTCAATGCTTGATAAAACAATTCAAACTAAGGTAGCAGAGGGTGAACACAGATTCAGACTCCCACCTCTACCCTCTCCCACCAAGCTGGAAGAAGTGTCTCTAATGTGTTCATGTGTATAGAGAAATTGGCTCCATTTCTGAACAGAGAGAACAGGGCAGAAACATGAATAAATCTGGGGATGACATTTATTCAAAAGCATAGCCATCTGCTTAAGTCCCACATCTAAATTTTTAAAAATAAAAAAAAAGAAGAGAAGCCACCTGTCTTGCAGTATTGAAGTAAAATCCAAACCTGTTTAATTGAGAATAATAACATAAAATAGACTTTTGTTTAGTCATAAGAGAACTTTGTCCATCTAGCTATATTAAGGGCCTAGACCAGTGCCTGGAACATGGTAGACATTTAAGTGTTTGTTGAATGAAAGCATTAATAATTGAATGCCTGTGGGGTGCAAAGCTCTGTGGTAGGCATGGTGAGAGATGCCCAGATGAACAGAAAATCATCCCTGCTCTCCAGAGGCTTGCAGGGTAGTAGGCGAGAACCACATCATCAACCAACTCAAACACCAGGCAGAGTGAAATAACGTGCCAAATAGAGGTAAAGAAACATGCTATGGGAAGAAGAAAGAACTAATTCTGATGAGAAGGAAGAAGGGGTAAGACATCAAAGAGGAGGTGGAAATTCAGCTAAGTTATAAAGTAGAAAAATGTCCAGGAGGGAATGGCATGACCAAGGGGATGGAGAAATCGAAGGGTCTGGCTGGCTTGGGAAGGTCCGTGCAGAGTGCTTTGGGGACAGCCTTGGAAAAGATGGGTGGAGCCACATGTAAGGGTCTGATCATAACTAGGCAGGAAAACATTAACAGTCAAAAAATTAAGCCCTTATGAAAATAAGTGGAATCCCTTTCTTCTTTCTCCCTCTAAATTTGTAAAGCATTTACTTCCCTTAAACCATATAAAATGCCATTTTATCAAGTTATTTTAATCTGTGTAAAACAACTGTCATGTTCAAACTATTTTAATGCTACAGAAGTTAAAGTAATATGAAGAGAATGTGTTATAGAATAAGGCATGAGTATATTTAAGTTCTGTCTTTTTGAATTACTTTAATTTCTGGATAACAACACCTCATTTTTTTTCAGTTCTTACCATTAGAAGAGATCCCCCTAAGGTCTGTATGAGAAATCCAGCTGCATCCCCTGTAGCTTTGATTCAGAAAAAGACTCAAACTCAGTCTATAAAATATTTATATAAGGGAGTCTAAAGAAAGGGTCTGGTAAGAGCTCCTCAAATGTCAGTACAATTCTGTTGGTAATCCATGGTCATTCAAGCCATTTTAGGAGGAACAGAAATAGAAGGAGATGGGCAGAAAAAGCCTTTTGTTTGTTTTTTCTACAAATATTAATCAATTATTAACAAATATTAATTAATTATTAATTAACTAATAATTGCAAGTTGCTCAGTTAACAAATATTTACTTTATACAAGCACTGTTCTAGGCACCAGGAATGTGTAAGTAAACAAGATTGTCAAAGTCTTTGCTCTCATGGAGATTATCTTCTGGGAGGAAAGGCATTCATACACCACAAGATATGGTGGAGGAGTAATATTCTGAGATATTCACCGAGGATTCTAATTTCCACAGCCAACCCCATTCCAACCCCACACTTCCTTGTGACCTTGAAGAAACAGCAATCTCTTTCTACTGACATTGCTCTCAGCAGCTTTGTGTAAATAGATTATTTTTCATTCATAGAAGAGATAATAGTTTTGAAAATCAAGATGTTCAAGAGGAAATGCTTTGCTTTGCTCTGCCTTGTTTTGTATAATTTCAAAAAACTTGGCTTTGCATGTCAAGAATCCAAAGCCTGGAAGAAGAGAGTATGAGTTTATCCATAAACACATTTTGGAAGTAGAATAGATGAGATATTAGTTTTCTCACCACACAGAGAGGAGATCAAAGGCCTTTCTGAACTGAAGAAAAGAGCTTCAAAATTGAGACATAAAAATAAGAGAGAAAATTACTGGTAATGCTTCCTAAAAGACAGTCACTTCCTCCTGTCCCCTCCATGAAAAGAAACTCTGGTTCAGTGGTGATGGAGTCCCCAAGTAGGATTCAGGAATCTGAGAGCAGAGAATTTCTCACAACCTCACATAATATAGCAGGGAGTGGACCCAGAAGAACAGAATGAAGGCTGGCAGGTTCAGGCTGAAAGACAGCCCAAAATAGCTGTCCTCCAGCCTCCACCCAAGTCTCCTTCAGCACAGAATGGTACAGGAGAGCATCAGAACATTTTCTCTAACCCTAGGAAGGGTACAGAGTTGACTGAGAGAACACCAAAGAACCAGGAAAGGCAACGCACCTTGAACAAAAAGGACCCTAGCTGACTGACACAGACCTGGTGAACAGAAAGCAGGGTGAGGTGAGGACCTCAGTGACTGATGGCAGCAGAGACAGAAGTCTTCAACTACTCAGAAGGGACTGGAGTGGACAGGAAGTAGCAGCAGATCAGAAACTCCCTTCTTGTCTCCCTTTCCCATAATCTCCCGCCCCACCTGGGACTGTGGCAGGTACAGAAAACCAACTTTATTGCGTTAAGCCACTGAGATTTGAGACTATTTATGACAACAGTTAGCTTATTCTGATTATTATTAAAAAACAAGGACATTTCCCATTTATTTTGCTTGTCTGAATATGTGACATATAAAAATTGTACCCAATAAGGGATAAATACTAAGAAGAAAATGAAGTAAAGGTACATGAGAAATAGTGTATTAGTCTGTTTCTGTTGCTTATAACAGAATAACTGAAACTGGGTAATTTATAAAGAAATGAAATTTATTTCTTATATTTTCAGAGGCTGGGAAGTTCAAAGTCCAGGGAACACACCTGCTGAGGGCCTTCTTCTTGGTGAAAACCCTACACAGGCCTGTGGCAAGCTAACATCCTCACCTGCTCTCCTTTTAAAGCCGTCAGACCCATGCCCATTACTACCCACTGAACCATCAACTTATTACTCCATGAATGGATCAATCCACTCACTAGGGCACAGTCCTCAGATCCAGTCACCTTTCAAAGGCCCCACCTTTCAAATACCATAATTGGATTTCCTACCCTCTTAATGTTCTTACAGTGGGGGTCAAGTTTCCAACACATGAACCTTTGGGGGACACATTTAACCCATAGTAGATAGTAACTGGAAAAGAAAATAAATGAATGATTTCTCTGTCGTGAATATGTTCTCTCTATGCAAATAATATTTGAGCTGAAACCTGAATATTGAAAATGTTCCAGGCAGAATAAACACCAAGTGCACAAGCTCTGAGGCAGGGATGAATGTGGTGTGTAGAAGTAACCGAAAGAAAGCTGATGTGACTGGAGCAGAGTAGGAAGAGAGACGTGAGAAGATGCATTTGAGATATGGACGTGACCGTATCACAGAGGGTCTTAAGGCCATGGAAAGAAAGAAGTGTGAATTTTACAATAAGTTCAGCGAGAAGCCATTGGTAAGTGTTAAGAAGAGGATTGATATGATCGGTTCATCATTTATTTTGGCTATTGTTTGGAGAAAAGATTGGAGGGGGACAAAAAAGGAAGCTGGGAGAATAGCTAAGAGACCATTAAAACAGTCCGGAGGAGAGATGTTGATTATTTAACCTGTAGGTGATAGTTGTAGAAATGGAAAGAGGTGAACGTATTGAGGATATATTTTGGAGATAATACTGATGAACTGGATGTAACATAGAAGAAAAAGAATGAAATCTTATCTTAAGAAACTGAGAAAAGGTGGTGCCATTTTCTGAGGAAGAGACTAGGAGAAGAATAATTTGGGGTTGCGGGGAGGAAGCAGAAAACAAAAAATTCTGTTTCAGGCCCATTACATGTAAGATGCCTATTAGACATCCAGGTCAGGTAGGAAGTCTGACATCAAGTAGGCAGTTTGATTTATGAGCCTGCAGCTCAAGGTAAGGTCAAGAGTGGAGATTTACATTTGGGAGTCATCTGCATGTAAATGGTATTATCGTTATGGGACTAAATGAAATCTACCAGGCAGACAGTGAAGATAGGGCCCAGGAAAGAGCCTAGGAAATCAATCCAGTAAAGAGATTGAAAGGGAGACTCTAGTGAATTGGAATCATACATGAGAAGCTGGTGTCATAGAAGCCAAGAAAACAAACTTCCTGAGCTATGTTTACTCTGAAATTAGCACAGATAGTTCATGAAGTTTGCTGAGGTATTTAGATCCTTAAGTGAATAATTTCTATCTCACTGTTTCTCATACAATGAAAAATGCAGGGTCAATGACACAATCTGCCTCCCAAAATCATACCTTTAGTCTCCTGGGAATATGATGAACATATTAATAGCTCTGCTTCCTCCTCTCTATGACTGGAATAGCCCGTGTTTTATTGCACTGACTCTAGAGAGTCTTCTCCATAGTCAAAGAACAACACATTTTAAGACATAATTCAAATCAGCTATGTCTTTGAGAGAATGACTTTCTCCTTGCATATATATTATGCACATTAGAATATCAAGCTACAGATTACCATCAGACAGGCCACAGATGATGAATGTGGGATGATTTGCTTGCAATTAAATGGATTGTCTTTGGAAATGTTTTGGGTTTTCTTTTTTTTTTTTTTTTTTTTTTTTTTTTTGGTGGCTGGCCAGTACAGGGATCAAACCCTGGACTTTGAGTTTGGTGTTATCCGTACCATGCTCAACCAACTGAGCTTATCAGCCAGCCTGGAAATGTATTTTAAATGAAATATTATTAGTGGTGATTACCTTGTCTCTAAAGATAGTTTGACCTGCTGCAAATGTTACCTAACTCAACACTCCATAATCACTGACTTGTGTATTTTTAAAGCTATCAAGGATAAGAACATTTAGAGATCAAGTGATATATGAAAGAAAACTCCTTAATCACCCAAATAATGTCATTTGTCACATTAACTATGACTTATAATAAGACAGTTATTTTAGAAATATAGAATTCCCAGATGATCCAAGATGAGATATATCCAATTCTGTACCAACTTTAATAGTCCTCAATCACAGCACTTGAGAGTTCTTCACATTATGACTTGTGATGTCAGAGGTGACACCTTCAGAGATACTTTGTATATTTTTTACTGATGTTGTCATACTTGAAGTGATACAGATATCTATTAGGTGTCTGAATAACAAAGAAGAATTTAAACAAAATTCTCTAGCCACCCACAGAAATCTTAAGAGTTCTATCAAAGTACACACACTGTACATAAAAGTACATAAATTACCTGATCCAGAATATATTCATCCTCAAGTAAAAGAAAAAAAGTTAATTTCCCCATCCACTAAAATATATGTACATAAGCTTCCTCACAACTTTACATACAATTTTAGGAGGGTCTCAGACTTTCTGAAGATTACCTGTGCCCCCATTGCCCCAGAGTCTCCAAGTTAAGCACTCGGCTTAGATAGAATATTTTCTCCTGTGCGGTGCACCATGTACACCTTCTCCTTATTCTCCATCAGGAAGCAGAACTTTCAGTTTCCAAAAGTGTAGTCTTAAGTGATGCTGGGCGGCGGGTCCCACAGTGTATGGAGTGAAGTTGGCGATGCTGGGCGCTGTCCCCGGTACTGAAAGCCCTGGTCCAAGTTCACTGAGAACTGTCCAAGGTCCCAATATCATACACTAGGTGCTTCTCAAAGTGTGATCTACGGATTCCACCTGCATCAAAGTCAAGTGGGTGTACGTATTAAAATGCAGATTCCTGGCCCATCCTAGAACCATTGAGTCAGAATCTTTATAGGTAAGTCCCACAAACTTGCATTAAGAAGTTTCTCAGAAGATTCTTATGTCTGACACTAAGGTGATGTCTCCCAAATGTTAGTACCACTTTGTTAAGACTAGGGACCATTTAATCCCATCTGAATTTATTCATCACTGTAAATGCACTTATTGCCTTTAATATTATCTGTATTGATAATCATAAGTTATCATATTCCTTCAGAAGACATTAACCAAATTTCTCCCAGATTGCTCCTGACACAATTTGGCACCAAATACAAAAATTCAACCCCATCAAGGAATCCCAAACACAGGCAAATTATTTTTGAAATCAATTTCCTTGATCTTTTAGCAAGTCTTTCTCGCCCATCCAATCTAATAATGAAAATAATTATAATTACAACCAATATTTACTGATAACTCACTCTGTGCCATCCATCTAACTCAGAGCACTGATAATAGTAGCAAAAACAACAAATAATATTTATTGAGTGCTTGCCTACTTGTGCAGCACTATTGAAAGTTCCTTACATGATTGTATCATTTAATCTTTATAATAATATACCCATAATCTCAAAAGAAGCAGGAAAAATTGTACCCTGCATTACTTACAGTGTTGGCACCCACTTATAGACCTTGTCATATAAATATATGATACTAAAACTGACACCTTGATGCTGTTTTTTCAAAAATGTGTGAAAATAGAGGGAACATATGTGCCCCTTATTGACTGCCTGCTGTGTTCCTTGCACTTTTATATGTTTTCTTTATTAAAACATCACAGCTATTTACAAATAGGTTTTATTATCCCCATTTTAACAGGTTTATTGAAGTATATGTATATGCCTGTGAAGCCATCACCACAATAATGAACATATGCATCACCCCCAAAAGTTTCCTTGTGCCCTTTTGTAATCCTCCCTCCTGCCCCCCTAGTTACTTGGCCCCAGACAACCAATGAACTGCTTTCTGACACACAAACTAGTTTGCATTTTCTGAAATTTTATATAACTACGCTGTATGCTTTCTGTGTCTGGTATCTTATACCAGACATGATTGTTTTGAGATTCATCTATATTATTGCATTTATCAATAGTTCACTCCTTTTGACTATTGAGTAACATTCCCCATCTTATAGATAAGGAAACTGTGAAAACAAGCATGTACTCTAAGATCACATAATAAAGAACCAGATTCAAATGTAAGTCTGCCCAACACAAAAACCCCAGGTTTTCTAAATAAAAAAAAAAATCTGCCTATTTTCATTTTTAACTGAGAAATAACTCTACATACATCTTCAGAGTGGGAGAAATATAGGCCCCCATTGGTCAGAATATAATAATCACACCAAAAATAGTTGTTGGATAATTAATAGGAAAGAGTGTCAATCCTACCCCTTCCCCACTATACAAAGGGTCTTCAAAAAGTTCATGGAAAGATTTATATTGTCTTTTAATTCCATTTTTCCATTAAATTTTTGAAGTACTCTGTATGAGGGGCAGATGATGAGAGATGGTCAAATTTATGGTAGAGGAGGGAGGCATCCAAAGAACTAAGAAGGCCTTGTTAAACTGGGTCACTTTTGTCTCTTGCCCTGATGAATAGACTATTAGTTAGGAACAGAAGAGGAGATAAATAAAAAGTGGAATAGAAAGGAAAAGTGGACTCCCTTTCCAAACTCTGAGCTGTTCATTTGATGATCTCAGGCACCCGTGACTCTTGGATTATTTTTTCCATGATCCTCACAACATACTTTTGAAGAGAAATTAATAATCACTAGTGGTTATAGAGTGCTTATTATGTACCAGGCATTATACAAGAGAATCTTATTCCATTTCCATTTTACTAACAAGGAAATCAATTCTCAAAAAATATAAATGACTTGTCAAAGGTCACACAGCCAGGGAGGAATTGCATTATAGCCAGAGCTCAAGTCTCTGAGTCTTAGTCCAGTGCTCTTTCCATGACTCGCAAAGGCTCCAGGCTGTCTTGCTCCCAACCAGCAAACACCCAACAGCACCACACAACTCACCACCATTGGCCCCATCACAGCCTCACCCTAGAGCACTATTGACTTAGGTCCTTTCCTTTTGGACCCCTGACACTCTTGTCTTGCTCCATCAGAACATTCATTCTGTGTGCCCTGCCTTCAGAATACTGTTCAACACTAGAGTCAACTTAAAGCATATTCCAATAAACCAGAGAGTTAATGATTATAGTGTTAAGATCTTTTCCAGTACCAACCGGGGCTTAAAAAGAC